AGGAAAAAAAAATGCGTATGTTGGAAGATTAGGATTTTGTTCTGATTCTGCATATTTCCATCATTGAAGATATTGGATGAACTCTATTTAGAAATCTTGTTAATGCATTCTCAGAATTAGAGATAAATATGGTAATGCACTGTATCAAAACATTACAGTAACCTCATGGTCTGGTTTTGAATTGCAGCCGGGTTATGAAAGACTCTGCTGCTTGAGATGCATGCAGCCTCGGGATCACAACTTTGCCACGACGTGTGTGTGCCGAGTGCCCAAGCATCTGAGGGAGGAGAAGGTTATAGAATGTGTCCACTGTGGTTGTAGAGGATGTGCAAGTGGGGATTAGCTGCTCTTGTCTTTGGCATGCTAATGATGGATGTTAAATCACTTTGTTACGGATTCTTTAGGTTATTGAGCTATCTATGTAAACTTCTGTTCCTGCTGCCCGAAGAAGGCATTTGCAACTAGTGCTGCTACTTGCGATGTAACTGGAGTGTTGTGGGGAAGAAATGAGTATCGATTAGGCCAATGTAATGTTTCTGGGGGAAAAAAAAAAAAGGCAAATGTCATGCATAGCCTGAAAATGTAATCCAGACTTCTAACTTCCTTTATCCATGTACCTATGTTTTGTTCCATTGAATTGTTTTCAAGTTGGTCAATTGATGAGGAATGTGGTAAAGGCTGTTGTGAAATCAGTTGGTCTGTTTGCTTATTGCTCTTGTTAGATTGGTAATTTCTAATTCATTGGAAGCCATAGGCCTGTAAGACTTGGATTTATGGTTTGTTAGGTATTGATTGGGTAATTTCAGGTTCAGTTAGAGGGGAGATTTGGGTTTGGGATGGTTTATATGTATAAAGAAAATTGCTAACGCCATCCATTTGACTGTTTTTTAGGTCATTTGGAAAGAGCAAAATGGAAGGAAGGGTTTTTGATAGTATAGAAAATAGTTTTAATAAATTAATTGATAGGTTATGACATCATTAACAATAGAAATTTTAGGGATGTTATTGACACACTAATTTTATTTCAGATGTTTTTGTAGGGGGGATGGTATTCTTTTTTTGATACCTTGTAAATTATATTTTACACTTTTTATTGAAAAAATAGAAGGGCCAGAAAGACTTAAAAGCTTATTTCTTCGTTTCCTGTTTCAGTTTTTAATTCTTTATGGGAGATATGATATGGTTGGAATTACTAAAATTTATATAAAAACTTGATGTTTATAATATGAATAAAAATCTGCAAGTTAAAATCCTTTGGTTTAGTTGAACTAATTGGTATGTTTATTAAAAGTTTCTCTTAGCACTTTTAGCAGCAGCAGGCTATCGATTATTCTTGTTATCGTTCTAAACTTGGGCTAGTCAATTTCGAAGAACTCAGATTTTCAAGTTGGGCTCTGTTTGCTATTTAACAATTAGGGTCAATTTTTTAGTGGGTAGTGGGGTTCGTTTAGGAGGTGGAAGCTTAATCTATGTTGTACGTACCGAGTAAATGCATCATGTTTATATTTTGAATCAGTCATTTATTCTTTAACATATAAATAAGTAAAAAATTGAACTTTGAAAAGAATTTCTACGTACTAAAAAGGACCTTGATAAACTCCGGACAACTTCCAACCCTAGTTTTTATCGAGTACATAGAGACCAAAAAACTTGGCTATTTAATTCCAATTATATATATATATATATATATTTTTTTCCTTTTGTCTTTTTATTACTATCTTATTTCTGTCATTGAATTTGTCTTCTCCGATCTACTATGAATATAAAACCATCCCCCAACACGGCCGGCCAATACCCAGAGAAAAAGTTGCAGTTCCGGCATGTCACCATTCATTCACTATTAAGCCTCTCGGTCAAAAACACGCGTGGATCATCTTTATTCTTCCAAAAGTCAACTCTCTTCCATTATTTTATTAATTTAATCTAATGATTGTTTACTTTCCATCCTCAGATATGCCACATCTGGTTCTCCCCCATACAGACACATCGACATGCCATCTCATATATTTATATATGATAAAATATATAAAATTTTTTTTTACTCTTTGAAATTTTGTTTTATTCGCTTTAAATTTCAGCATTTTAGAATTTGTTCTGTTATTATTATTATTTTTTTAACACTAATAATATTTTTCAATCTTCTAGATCCTATTATTTTATTTACTTCCCGCAACATTATGTATGTGTTATACATGTATATATATATATATATTAAAATGGGTTCCTTTTACTCAGTTTTTGATGTTGATATCATTGTTTTATATTCAGCCTTGAGTATGTAATTTGCTTGATAAAATAAAAGATGATATTTTATTGTACAAAAATAAACAAATTTATAAACATAAACAATTGATTATTTGAGATTATAAATTAATTAAGGTATGGACTTAACCAGTCATGAGATGACTTTGTCTATGGAACCAACCATTCGAAATTCACGATTCTAGAGTTCCTGCAGTTCAATGCACACACACCCACATATATATATATATACATATATAGATTCATATATCAATTGTATGTGTCGACGCGTATAAATATTTATTTTAGATTACTATACGTTGAGTTTGATGATATTTATTTTTACTTTATTATTTCAAAATGCAAATAAAGTATCATTTTTTTTTATACGGTGATTGATTCAATTAAGAAAACTCAAATTAGGTTATATATATATATGTGTGTGTGTGTGTGTATATACCGTATTTATATATTTGGTTTATAGCTTAAAAAAATAAAGAATTAAAAAATTATATATAAATTATATCCTGCGGTTGGTGAGGTTGGGACGTGTTCATGCAATAATCTAATTTACCAACTTAGAAGCCACTTTTTCGGTTATCACTACATTAAGCACCTCTAATTGCCATATGACCAGAAAACAAATAGTAGCACGCACTTTAATTATATTCACCTCTATATATATTCTCCAAATAAACTAAATGTACCATATAAATATGTGTGTGTATATATATATATATATATTTATACTTATACACTTCTGGACATTATTAATAGACAAATATTAATAATATGGAAAAACATTCTCTGTATCTGAAAAAAAAAATGTATATTTTCACGGTTTAATGGTAAAATAAAAAGAAAAAAATAAATAAATAATATTTGTTCGAGCGAAAATTTAATACGTAATATTTTTATATAAAAATATTAAAATTTTGAATAATCAAAATATAATTTTAATTTCTATTAAAAATATATACAGTTTTTCAAAACATTGACTAAGAATTAATTAAAATAATATATTTAATTTTGAAACATTATAATTATATATATATATATATATTTTTTGTGTGTGTGTTTGGATTTCCTGATTATCATCATGTGACTCTCTTGTTGTGGATCCCTCTAATCGCGGGATTCAACGTTTATTTTTTTCTTAAAGAAAATATTAGTATAAAATTAACAAAAAATGCAGACTATAAATATATACACACATAAATGTAAATTACATATATTTAATTATAATTTAAATTAAGATTCTAAATGTATTAAATTAATATTAAAACCGTATACTTTTAAAAAATAAATATTTAAAATATCTTAATCATATAATTAATTAATTAATTAATTTAAAAATACTTTTTTTTTTTTTTTTGCCAATTGAAAAAAAGTTTGCCCAACATTCTTGTCCTAGTCAAACTTTTGTCATTCCTTGTTAAAAATCCTCTGGGTCGAGTCGATAACCATTTCATATTTATGTACGTATCTAATCTTTTTTTAATTTTGGGTATTTAAAAATTGATTCCATATTATTAGCTTAATTTACGATTTCTTTTTGTTTAAAACCTTAATTTATAAGTTAAATAAAAATAAAACAGGTTGATTAAAGCTGTAAATTAAATTTTGTTGGCATTAATTTAAAAATCGGAATATCGTGTGTACTGAAGCGTATTTGCTTTGGACATTGGGAGAATCGATTGCGTGCATGATTTTCTGGTCAGAGACCGTCTGACCTTCTAGAAGGAAGAAGTTATCACCTGCGACGCAACGTACCATATAGTTCGTACATCTCTATAAAAGAATTTAATAATCATTAACCTGTTAATAAATAACTCCGTGTTTAATTATGTAATTAATTACTTAATACACTCAGATGGATCAGTATTAACCCCTGAATATTATTGCTCATAAATAAATAACTACAATTTATTTCAATATTATGTTAGATTTAGTTTTTACTAAAATTAAATAATCGTAAAAATTAAATGGGATTTTGTGATTTATTATTAATTTATTACAAATGGTAAATGACTCGTACAATTTGAATTATACTTTTATTTCTAATTTAAATCATAAGGCTATGAGAATATCGGGTTCTTATGCTGCAAAAGTCAAATGCATTTGAGATTTTTACAGAATATATTTTTCTAGTTTCAAGCAAACCAGAAAACTTGTCTACTTCTCATCCTTCCCTCATTAGAAGCCAAGTTTCTATTTTTAAATTGCTAGATGCGCTGGCGCTTGCTAGATTACCGTCTTCCTCTTTTTCCTGATCATCTGACTCAATATTAACTCTGCATTTATTTTTTCAGTTTTCCCTATAAAAGGACCTCCATTCTCATCAACCACTCCAAATTTCTTATTGCTTTTCAAATTTTCATTTTTTTTTTTAGAATTAACTGCCAATACCGGTATCTGCTTGTTCTGATTCATACTCCAATTCCAAGAAGAGAAGTTGAACAGACAACAGAGAGTGATATAATCAATATATATATATATATATTATATGAGCTTCGGAAGCTAGTGTGAGAGATATTATTAAATAAGCTTCAAAAGCCAGTGGGATAAGAGGAAGAGGTGGTCAAATTTGATCTGGCCAAGATTCAATATTGGACTTGTCTTTTTTTCTCCTTTTATTTAGTCAAGATCATCTCTTTCTGTATCTATATATATGTATATACACATTAATATATAGTGGTAAGAAACCCACATGCAGAGTTAGCTAGGAATCGTTAGTAAAGAACAAAGAAACTCAGAGACTAATAAGTGGTTTCACGTCCGGGACGTTCAGGTTATCGTCGTCTGTTTCTCCGGGACTGAGTACTAAGTTGCTGTAAATGGCGGCAGCTTTGGCTGGAGATGATTTGGCGAGATCGATGAGTAGTCGGCGTAGCTGGGCATCCGGTAGCCGGCGGAGTTGGGCATCGACGAGTTTCCGAGAGGTTTGGACGACGGCGCCGGAGGATGTTTTCACTCGGAGCGGACGTGAAGATGACGAGGAGGAACTCCGGTGGGCAGCGATCGAGCGTTTGCCGACGTATGACCGTTTGAGGAGAGGCATGCTTCGGCAAGTACTGGAAAATGGGAAGGTGATCCACGATGAGGTGGATGTTAGTAAGCTTGGAATCCAGGATAAGAAGCAGTTGATGGAGAACATTCTGAAAGTTGTGGAAGATGATAACGAGAAGTTCTTAAGAAGATTCAGAGACAGAACTGATAGGTAAAAAAAACAAAAAACAAAGAAACAAGCAAAATCCGCTGGTTCAATTTATATTTCCATGGATTTTTCATTTCTGGTTTTGGGTGCAGAGTGGGAATAGAAATCCCGAAGATAGAAGTTCGATATGAGCATTTGTCGGTGGAAGGCGACGTATATGTTGGAAGCAGAGCTCTTCCTACTCTGCTCAACGTTACTTTAAACACAATAGAGGTGGGTTCTTGTTCATTTTCTCTTTGGATTTTCTTTTCCCGCTTTCCAAACAAGAGTTCTCATGATCTGTTCTTCAAACATTTTCTTCTGGGCCAATGTTTTTCTGATGCAAAGACAGAGATTATGCTCTGGTTTTTGCAACACAGAAGACTGAAATTTTGTTGCTTTCAGAAATTTCCAGAGCAGGATTGTAACTTGTTTTGTATCTAAGAAAGAATAATGTTAGATTAGAAATTATAAACTAAGTTAATGAGTTCCACTTTTTGTTGATAATCGATCTTAACATTTATGATGCTAAACAGGGTATTCTGGGATTGATTAAGCTTGCACCATCCAAGAAAAGGAAAATCCAGATCCTTGAAAATGTTAGTGGCATTGTCAAGCCGTCAAGGTAAAAAATTCTTCATTCATTGATTTCTATACTTAATCATCATACTAAAGATTAATACATAAAATGGTTTTTATCCATGAAAATTTTCTATTTCCGCCTCAAATTTTCAGTTCTTTGCATATAACTATGATTTTTTGTTGATGGATTTTCATTTACGAAGTAGATTTCGTTATTTTGTTTAAGAATTCTTATGTTTCAACGTTAACTTCTTTTTTTTTTTTTGGCGCCAATCCAGGATGACCCTTCTTCTGGGTCCTCCAGGTGCTGGGAAAACAACCTTGTTGATGGCACTTGCAGGAAAGCTTGATCGTAATCTCAGGGTTAGTTTCACTTGCAGTAACTTCTGTATTAATTTGCTTTTTATAAAAATCTTTTAACGATGTAAGAGTTCCAAGCAGGTATCAGGAAGGGTCACGTACTGCGGCCATGAACTGAACGAGTTTGTTCCTCAAAGGACATGTGCTTATATTAGCCAACATGATCTTCACAATGGAGAGATGACTGTAAGGGAGACCCTTGATTTTTCAGGCCGCTGTTTAGGTGTTGGCACACGATACGAACTGCTTGCAGAGCTCTCCAGGCGAGAGAAAGAGGCTGGTATTAAGCCTGATCCCGAGATTGATGCATTCATGAAAGCCACAGCAATGGCGGGTCAAGAAACCAGTCTGGTTACAGATTATGTTCTCAAGGTCTGTTGGACCTTTTTCCTAGCTAAAAGCATTGGTTTAGTAATATTTTAAGTCAGCCTGTTTCTTTAAATTGACTCGTCAAGAATCTCTAACAGATACTTGGGTTGGATATTTGTGCTGATATTCTGGTTGGAGATGAGATGAGAAGGGGTATTTCTGGCGGCCAAAAGAAGCGTCTTACCACAGGTATGTTTGTCGAAGCTCTAGTACTTTTCTTGAGGATTCACAGGAATGGAGGAATTAGTGAGTTTTCTTGGGTTTTTTGGTTGTGTAGAATCAATCAATCTTAGTTTAACTTGCACGCCTACTGTTCGATATTAGGGCTTCGAAGTTGGTCTTCTTGAAATGAGATATGGCAAACTAGATAATGGAGTCTGATTATTTTCTTGTTCTGGGTGCAGGAGAGATGTTGGTTGGACCAGCTAAGGCTCTTTTCATGGATGAAATATCAACAGGGCTGGATAGTTCAACAACTTTCCAGATTTGTAAGTTCATGAGGCAAATGGTTCATGTCATGGATGTAACCATGGTGATTTCTCTTCTGCAGCCAGCACCCGAGACCTTTGATCTCTTCGACGACGTTATCCTACTTTCAGAAGGTCAAATTGTGTACCAAGGTCCTCGTGAGAGTGTTCTTGATTTCTTCAAGTACATGGGTTTCAGATGCCCGGAAAGGAAGGGAGTTGCAGACTTTCTTCAAGAAGTAACTTCAAAGAAGGACCAAGAGCAGTACTGGTACAAGAAGAACCAAGCTTACAGATATATCTCGGTTCCTGATTTCGTCCGTGGCTTCAGTTCCTTCCGCATTGGCCAGCAACTATATGCAGATCTGCGAGTTCCTTATGACAAGTCCAAGACACACCCTGCTGCTTTAGTGACAGATAAGTATGGGATTCCAAGGAAGGAGTTGTTCAAGGCCTGCTTTTCTAGGGAATGGCTGCTCATGAAGCGAAACTCTTTTGTTTACATCTTCAAGACTTTCCAGATAACAATCATGTCGTTAATCGCCATGACTGTATTCTTCAGGACTGAAATGCCAGTTGGTACTGTTGAGGATGGAGGGAAGTTTTTAGGAGCACTTTTTTTCAGTCTGATTAATGTGATGTTCAATGGAATGGCAGAAATGGCTATGACTGTTTTCAGACTTCCAGTTTTCTTTAAACAGAGAGATTTCTTGTTCTTTCCTCCTTGGGCTTTTGCTTTACCTATATGGGTTCTCAGGATTCCTTTGTCACTTATGGAATCCGCTATCTGGATCATTCTCACATATTACACAATCGGTTTTGCCCCAGCAGCAAGCAGGTAAATCTTGTCATACACATATGAGTTTATTCCAATCTTCTTGGTTCTTAAAAACCAGAAAAATCAATGGTATTGACTAAGTTTTCTCTGTCTAACCATGGTTTCTGCAGGTTCTTCCGTCAACTTCTGGCATTCGTCGGTATTCATCAGATGGCTTTGTCTCTGTTTAGATTCATTGCAGCTATTGGAAGAACACAAGTTGTTGCAAACACGCTTGGTACCTTTACTTTGCTAATGGTTTTTGTACTTGGAGGGTTCATCGTCGCCAGAAGTAAGTACTTCCATCCTGTTACTGTACTTTTGAGGCAATTATTCTTTGATTAATTTTTAAGACTTGATTTCCATTATGGCTAGATTCATTAAGAGCAAATCTCTTGATCTGTTTTTGCCATAACTGAACCATTTTATTTTCTTCTGCAACCACAGATGATATTGAGCCATGGATGATCTGGGGCTACTACGCTTCTCCTATGATGTATGGACAGAACGCCATTATCATTAACGAGTTCCTCGATGAAAGATGGAGTCGGGTCAGTTATTTACTTTTAGATCTCTAGTTGGTATTTTCTTGCTATGCAATCACCATAATTTTTCTTCTTATTGAAATATACAGAATATTACTGATACCAGAATTACTGGAACTGTTGGCGAAGTCCTTCTCAAATCCAGAGGCTTCTTCACAGAGGAGTACTGGTTTTGGATTTGCATTGGAGCACTGTTTGGGTTTTCTATCCTCTTCAACCTTCTGTTTATTGCAGCATTAACTTACTTGAACCGTAAGTAGCTAACTTCATTTCTCTTCATGTTTTTTCCTTTATTCTTTGATTAGAAATTTTCATGCTGACAAACTCATTCTCCGTGGAAAACCAATTACAGCTCTGGGTGACTCTAAAGTGGCTGCTGTGGAAGAAGAAAACAAGGGAAAGAAAAAGAGATCCTCCAGAAATCAAACCACAGAAGGTTAAACACTTCATATTTTACCCTCTTTTACTTAAACTGTAGAATGAGAAATGTAACATGATCCTCTTAATTAAACTACATAGCTTCATCATCCATTTCCAGCTTTCTGAAAGGTGAGAAATTTCCAGGTATTGCTATGGGAATAAGAAATTCTTCTTCAGAAATGGTGGGTGATGCTCATCGTGCACAGAAAAGAGGAATGGTTTTGCCCTTCCAGTCACTTTCTCTTGCGTTCAACCATGTGAACTACTATGTTGATATGCCTGCTGTAAGTTGCTTATTCTTAAGTTTACTTCTCTTTTCAATTTGGAAAGTGTTTCGTAATTGGTTTCAAATATTTAATGGCTTCTGATTTTGTAAGAGAAGGCTGAGAAGAAATTTGAATATTTTTTTTTGCATACCAGGAAATGAAGGCTCAAGGAGTTGAAGGAGATCGTCTCCAGCTGCTGAGGGACGTTAGTGGTGCATTTAGGCCTGGTATACTGACAGCACTGGTGGGTGTTAGTGGTGCTGGGAAGACAACTCTCATGGACGTATTGGCAGGAAGGAAGACCGGAGGATTCATCGAAGGAAGCGTTAATATCTCTGGTTTCCCAAAGAATCAAGCAACATTTGCTCGTGTCAGTGGTTATTGTGAACAAAACGACATCCATTCACCTCATGTTACTGTCTATGAATCTCTCCTGTATTCAGCCTGGCTCCGCCTCTCGTCTGACATTGACACCAAAATACGAAAGGTATGAAACCTTTCTTTGCAATTCTTTCTTAAACAATCATGAATTGTTCACTAATCACTTCTTGAAGCTGTAACTATTTGAAGGTAAACATTACTAATTCAACAATTTTGGGCCAAAATTTTCCTTCCAACTCCTTGTTAAACTGTTGCCAAGAACATTTAACATAACTATTCTGTCCCTTTCCATGTTCATTACAGATGTTTGTTGAAGAAGTTATGGACTTGATAGAGCTTAATCCTTTACAAGATTCTCTAGTTGGTCTTCCCGGGATTGATGGTCTTTCAACCGAGCAAAGGAAGAGGCTTACAATTGCTGTAGAGTTGGTTGCTAACCCCTCTATCATCTTCATGGATGAGCCAACATCTGGTCTTGATGCCAGAGCGGCTGCCATTGTTATGCGTACTGTCAGAAATACAGTTGACACAGGAAGAACTGTTGTCTGCACAATCCATCAGCCAAGCATTGATATCTTTGAAGCTTTTGATGAGGCATGAATTTTTGTTTTAGAATTTCTTTCTTTATTTCTTCAGCCCACAGTTAACTTATATAACATGTATGCAATTTCAAAATTGTCTGTTGCAGCTTCTTTTGATGAAAAGGGGAGGGCAAGTAATTTATGCCGGAAACCTTGGCCGCCATTCTCACAAGCTCATAGAATACTTTGAGGTGATTAATGGCGTTTTCCCCCTCTTTGTTAATCTCTAAGGATAATTGATCATGATGTAGTTGTAGCTTAAGATTATAAACCCAAAGAGTACAGACTAATAAGCTTAAACCTCTTAACAGGCTATTCCAGGAGTCTCTAAGATCAAGGATGGATACAATCCTGCTACATGGATGCTTGATGTCACTGCCCCTTCAGTTGAGGCACAACTGAATGTCGATTTTGCGGAAATTTATGCGAATTCTGCACTTTATCAGTCAGTTGTTCCTTCTGTAGCCTTTGATTTTTATCTGATTAATTACCAGAAGCTTGATCAAGAAATTAATTTTGTTTTCTCTTGTCAAATATTCAGGAGAAATCAAGAACTTATCAAGGAGCTAAGTATTCCAGCACCAGGCTCTAAGGATCTCCATTTCCCAACTAAATACTCCCAGCCTTTCCCTACTCAATTCAAGGCTTGCTTCTGGAAGCAACACTGGTCTTACTGGAGACACCCTCAATACAATGCCATCCGCTTCTTCATGACAACAGTTATCGGTGTATTGTTTGGCCTCATCTTCTGGAACAAAGGAGACAAGACGTAAGTTAAAATCTGATATGGTACCGGACTTGTTTACCATTGTCATTACAGGAACCTAAAATTCGTTGTATCAACAGATCGAAGCAGCAAGATCTAATGAATCTTTTGGGAGCAATGTATGCTGCTGTACTTTTCCTTGGTGGCACCAACGCATCTGCAGTCCAGTCAGTCGTTGCTATTGAAAGAACAGTTTTCTACCGTGAAAGAGCAGCTGGAATGTATTCTCCTCTGCCTTATGCATTTGCTCAGGTAACAAAGTGAACATAGTTTCCAGTTATATAGATTAATAGATACGAAAATTCAGACTAATAAAAGAGATTCTTGCTGCAGGTGGCCATAGAAGCAATCTATGTTGCAATTCAAACTTTGATTTATTGTCTTCTCCTTTACTCAATGATTGGGTTTGATTGGATAGCGGCAAAATTCTTCTGGTTCTTCTACTTCATCTTTACATGTTTCATCTACTTCACACTCTATGGCATGATGGTTGTGGCACTAACTCCAGGCCACCAAGTCGGCGCCATTGTTATGTCCTTCTTCCTTAGTTTCTGGAACTTGTTCTCCGGCTTCATGATTCCCCGGACGGTATGTTTATTGAACTGTATCAATATGGTTTAGACCAAATTAGTAATTTTGGATTTGATATGTTACAAACTTGACAGAAAGAGATGATTTGGTATATTTACATGTATACATGTATGCAGCAAATTCCAATATGGTGGAGATGGTACTACTGGGCTTCTCCAGTGGCATGGACAATATATGGGCTTGTGACATCTCAGGTTGGTGACAAGGAGTCAAATGTTGAGATACCTGGACTTGGAAGGGACATGACAGTGAAGGAATTCCTTAAACAAAATCTGGGATACGAACATAGCTTCCTTCCTGCTGTTGCTGCTGCTCATATTGGCTGGGTTCTACTTTTCTTCTTTGTCTTTGCCTATGCTATCAAGTTCCTCAACTTCCAAAGAAGATGATATATATATATATATACATATATATATAAACCTCAAACTTGCAAAATTTATATAAAATATACACATATACACGATGTATAGGAACATTATAAATTTATTGTAATTAGTCAAGAAGGGCCAGACAGTATTACCCATTTTTGTCTTCTGATTCTTTTTTTAAAATATATAATTTTAAAATCTTACGTGATAGTATTGTTGTTATAAATATTTATATTAGTGCATCTTTACCTCTTAATTTAAATTCAAGTTATTGGTCTTCTACAATTATATTTTATGTAAATGAATTACAATATTTATTTTACATGATAAATTAGAATAAAATTTTAATCTTGAGTATTATTATAATTAAATTTATAAAATTTTAAATATATAACGTAGTCTTTCAATTCATGAATTAATAAATTTTTGCGGTATCAAAAATAATTTTCTATTAGCTTCTTATAACAAAAAAATAAATAAATCCACGTGTAGATACCTCAACATAAAAAACCAGTAATCACTAATCGTCACCATCGATCAAGTTCAATTCATACTCTCGTTCTTCAATCTTCATAAATCAGCTAAATAGCCAATCCTCGTCCAGAACCAGAGAAGACAGAATTTTCTTTTTAAGAAAAAGAAAAGGAACCAGAAAAGTATACGAAAATGGCAGACCCAACAACAAAACCCGCCACGAAACCAAGGACTGTCTGCTGCATCGGCGATATCCATGGCTACTTCACCAAGCTCAAAAACCTCTGGTCCAATCTCGAGTCTATAATTGACCCACCAGATTTCCAATCTGCCCTCGTCATCTTCCTCGGCGACTACTGTGACCGCGGTCCCGACACCCGCAGAGTAATTGATTTCTTGCTTTCTCTGCCCGCCAGGTATCCGAACCAGACACACGTTTACCTATCCGGTAACCATGACCTCGCTTTCGCGGCGTTCGTCGGCGTGCTGCCGCGTCCTCGAGATGGGTCTGAGTTCAAGGAGACATGGAAGGAATACGCGCAGAGCGAACAGAGAGAAGGGTGGTATAAGGGTGATGGGTTCGAGGATATGCACCTGCAAGGGAGGAGGTGGGCTGGTAGTATCACAGTCAAATTTAACACTGTAAAAGGAACGGATTATAAGGGTTCCATCTATGATGCGGCGCCAACTTTCGAGTCCTATAATGTCCCCCATGGATCTGCTGGTATGGATATTATCTGATTTGATTATCTTTTCGTTTTGGTGCTGTTGGGTTTTTGGTGACTGAGGATCATGAGGTTAATGCTGTAGTCTTATCTGTGTCATTTTCATTTTTAGGCTGTGATTATAGGGTTTTTGATAGAGTTACTCTGTGGTTATTGCTGTGATTCTCAGCTAATACATATATTTGGATTTTGGGTTTGATCTTAGTCAGCCTCTGTTGTTGAAATTGGGTTGGTTATCTGTGTGGAAGTGGTGGAATATGATGAATTGAAATAATAGATGTTATCTGCAGGTTTGGTTAAGGCTGTTCCTGATGATCACAAGAAGTTTCTGGCTGATATGGTCTGGGTCCATGAAGAGGTAAGTGTTATAATTGCTCTCTTATAATATTTTGTGGTAAATTACATGTGTTACTGTTACTTGAGACACTTAGTCCTTGCACAATAAATTATCGGTAAATTCAGTCAAGTTTTTAATCATATAACGAAGCAGAAGAACTAAAAATGTTTCATGATAACATATTGTGTAAATTGGTAATTAAAGAAATGTAACTTTAGTTTATACAAGGCTAGATTGTTATTTTTTAGAATACCCAACCCATCTATAGTTATTCCTAAATTTAAGTACCTCTGTATAAGTTACTAATAATTCATCTGTGGTTTAACTATTTGATTGGCAATATAATGCCGATGTTAAAAGAAGCAGAGCAAAGCTGTTTGATTTCTTTGATTTCTTATACCCTGTGGCAAAATAGCATTCACTTGCTGCTTACAATGGTTGTTGAGAAGGTTGAAGCTCGGATGTCGCTGATGTGATTGTTTTTCCATCAGGATGATGTCTGTATTGAAACTGATGAGGGGATTAAGCACTGTAGACTAATTGCTGTACATGGCGGTCTAGTTAAAGGTGTAAAAGTAGAAGAGCAGCTGGAGTTTTTGAGAGCCAGGGACACACGAGTGCAGAAGGTAGAGGCTCTTAGTGGGAGAAAAACAGTTTGGGATATTCCAGAGGTGATGCTTACTGAAACTTCCTCAAATTATTTCCTTTAGCAGGCTGTGGTTTTGGCTTTCTATAGCATAAATAAATACTTTTGGTTTCCCTACACCAGTATTAACCAAATGATTTTGGCAATGATTTTCTTTGTGATGTCTCGCAGGAACTGGCTGGAAAATCAACCATTGTGGTAAGTGGGCACCATGGGGAACTTCACATTGACGGCCTCAGGTTGATTATTGATGAGGGTGGTGGACTAGAGAAGAACCCAGTGGCTGCAATAGTGCTTCCATCAATGAAGGTCATCCGAGATACAGATAATATTGCCAAGTAGCTTCTTCTGTTAAAAAGAAATGCCAAAAATGGCATCTAATTTCTGGTTAGATTCCAATTGTACTGTGTATATATGCATGTTTGATTGGAAGAAGCATTTAGTTGAGGCATCTCCATCATCGTAGGAAGTAGGACCATCACCTAGCTCCTGGCTTCTAATTGCTACAACCCAGGTAAGTTCTCAGAATCTGCATAGAAAATTGATTGGATACTTGTGATAAAAATTTTAGAAATAGCTTTTGGAATTGTTATGTTCTAAATGTTACTTACCAGATAGGAAATGTACTGAGATGGAATATACCGGTGGGGAACATGAGAGCTTTCTGGGTGCTTTTAAAGTCTCTAAAGAGACAGCCGTAGTTCTCTGTTAGATGGTGTTTGAGTCCAAACTCTGACTACCAATCATTGTCCTGATTCAAAGTGTAGGGTGGTTAATCGAAGCGCATGTTTATAAGATATAATTGTAAGCACCGGTATCCATTAGTGCTGATTTAATGTTGTTAATTTGGTATTAGTGTAAAGTTCTTCCTCTTAACAATTCAGCCACTGAAAATTGAAATGGATCCAAATAGATTTGTTCTTAACTTAGTTTAAAGAAATGAATGATGAAGGTAAATTATCATGAATTACATGAAAACTATATGAAAAATATTATTTTTAATTTGTTGTTTTGATGAAACACTTGCTAGGAAGTATTGGAACTTCAGGAGACTCAGATGAGATAAAAAAAATAGATTCTGATATGAGTTTTTAGTAAACAGGTGACTCGTAAGTGTTCAAATTATGGTAAAAAAATATGTACGGATCTTTATAAATTAAGTTTAACATTTACCGTCATACTAAATAATGGGTGTAATCGTTACCGATAAAGTTTATCACTTATCATCATATTAAATGATATAAGGAGTCTCTATCTTGCTTTTATCTTAAATTTGTTTTTGATCTCCATTTCCAAACTCATGTGAAGTCAATCTGCTCTCAGTTTCTAATGTCCTGAGAATATTTGTTTGTTACCAGATTAGGTTAATTTTTCAGCAGAAGCAGTAGAATTGACTGTTTGAAGAGCGGATGCCTAATTGACTCCAAACGATTTGGCTGTATCGTCTTTTAGTGATCAGCGCCGTGAGCTGACAAAGCCTTCGAGCATTGCTGACACCCTCTGGACCTGGACCACTCACTTGTCTGCCCCTGGCTGGCCTGGTTCATTGTCTATCAATTTCAAGTAGTTAACCCCTCATCTTCTTTCGCACATACAATAACAAACTATAAAACCTTATATTATTTATCACCCATTATTAGATAATTAAATTAAGGATATTATATAATAAAATATACATATAAATGTACGTTAAATATCAGTGGAATATCCAGTTAGATCCTTTTCTTTGAAAAATATTCCAGTAAGATTTTTTAAATAAAGTCCCTGGAGATTAATATCTAGTGTTCGTAGATGTATGATTGTCTCCTTGAATACTTAAAAATAATAATAAATAAACAAATATAATAATTTACTTGTTTATTTGGATTCATCCGCTAATAATATAAGAAATTATCAATGGAAATAAAAATAATAAGAATATATGTATATACACACATTCCACCGTATAGAAACTATTTGAATAAGATGTATCATATTTTATATACTACTACTCAGTTAGTATAATTAATATACATAACGAAGTAATGTTTATTTTATTTAAATATTGGTTAATTTAATAATTAGTGTGTTTATTTTTTATAAAAAAATATTATAGTTTTGAATTAGATTTTATTCTAATGTATGTCATTATTTATATAGTATTATAATTAATATTTATATATTATCTAATTAATAGATATATATCTTACCTACTCAAAAAAATATATATAGTTATACTAATTGAACTCTTAAATTTATTTGGTAGAATTATTATTACCCACAATCTTTTACTATTTTAAAAGAAAATAAAATAGATCGAGTAGTTTATAGTGTAAATTCAGTTTGATATAATATTTTAATAATAAATTTGTAGTTTAATAATTAAAATTCATACACTTTATTTAAAATTATAATTTTTTATTGTTTTTAAAAAAATTAAAATTTATTATTTTATAAATATATTATAAATTCATAGTAGTCGATTTATAATATTTAATTTAATAAAATTAATAATTTAATTTATTAGTACATTAATAAATTATGATAACTAAATTAAATTTAATTTTAATTAGTCATCATGTATTCCGATGAAAAGAAGATTTTATGGTAGTTAGATTACTTTAATTTGAGTAATTATAACGAAATAAAAATTTAAAATAAAATTTGTTTTAAAAAAAATTATTTTCAAATGAAATTCATTAACTTCTCTCCTAAAAAACTAAAAGAAATTTATTTTTGGAGAATTTATATGGTAATTATGTATCTTATCAATCTTTTTATTCATAAATTATTTCCCACTTTAATGCCTCTTGTCACATGGCAGAAAAAGACCTTACTCTTTTCCTGCTCCATCTCCAAATGAAGTGAATAGTTTGGAAATTTTTTTTTTTTTTTTTAGACTTTTGGCTAAACATCATTATTTATGAACACTTGATGAAAATGATTAGCAATTAAAAGAGCCCATCAAAATCTAATCAACTCAAAAAGTTCTTTTTTTCACGTAAAGTTTTGATTGCCCACTTGAAAATGGGACCAAAAGAAGCAACTTTCTTTTTTTTTTTTCTCAGGAACCAAACACCCACCACAGCCTCTCGTTCCTCATCTTTTGTTATTTCCCAAAGCAAAAATCACCGAGGGACCCAATCCACGTGGCGTGCCAATGTTACCTATCAGGTGAATAATGAGTAAAAATCAGAGGGCCAATGGACGGTGGAGAATGATTCTGATGGGTCCCAGAAAACCCATCCCCATGCAAACCCGTACTGCACACGTTGCACCCATTCTTCTTGGCAGCAACTCACAGGTTTTCACTCACTCTACGGTTCCGCATCGGTTAGCGTCTGATTGTTGTTATTTGATTTCCGCTCCTCTCGCTGCTTCGAATCTCGCGGACTTCCATAACAGACGATCTCTCTAGATCTGTTTCTGCTTGAACGCCATTTCTGTTTTCTCTCGCTCTCCTCTCCTCTCCTCTTTCTGCCAGAGAGAAAGTAATCTTCATTGGAGAAATGGTTTACTCCTCGGTGTCAGGTATACGGTTTCCTTCTGCCATTCTGCTTCACAACTCTAGTCCCTCGAGCTTCAGTGGCGACCGCAGGAGCGCTACTCTCTCGCTTTTCTTGAAGAAGGAGCCGCTTTTTCGTAAGATTATCTCTGTATATTTAATGATCGTCTTTGATTTTGTTGCTACTACTGTGTCTCAAGCTCTTCTCTATTTTGCAGCCGGTTTAATTTCTTTTTTAATATAGCAGTGAGTAGGTAGTCTTGGTGAGTTGTGATTTCCCGTTTCCGATTTAAATTATGGTACGATTGGTGTCAGTAGTGGTGTGATGGATATTAGTGGAGGTGCGCTAATGTTTGATTGATTGTCTGAATTAAGAACATCGATGCCATCTCAGATGAATTTGGTAGTTTTGTTAGACTGCCTCGATGTTACTCTAATTTGCAGCGTACTCTGTATCCTCATTGACTAGCGTAAATTGTTCTAATCACTACATACCTTTTCTTTTAGAATTTGCTATTGGACTCGTACTGTTGCCATTCGTAATAATGGATTGGACGATTAGTTTGTTTTTCATGAGGACCGTGGAGGAATTACTTTTGAAGATGGCTTTTAGTCTTTAAATGAACACGCTGTATGGTTTATGTACTTTTATTCCCTTTGTTTTCCGTTGTTGTCATTTTGAAGTGATAGAGGAAATCCAGGTATTCTTTATGAGGGAAGGGCTTACAACTCGTTGTTGATGTTTTTTTTTTGTGTTGCCCTGGAAAGGAACCCTAACCAGAGTTTACAATGGGAAAGGAGTAAGCGGCCTCTTATATGGAATTTGAAAGAAGCCTAATTTCCATAGAAGTTTTAGACGCCTTTGGAATGGCAGGCTTCTACCCAAGTGGAGTGCCAAGTTTACTGTTATGTGATCTCTAATAGTTTCTAATAAAGAGAACAACAGAATCAAAATCCTTGGATTTCAGATGCTAATCTGACAGTTTTGTAGCAAATAAAAATCTACTACTTCTTTTATTTGCATTTATGGTATATATCTTTTCCATTTTGATTGGCGGGAGATGAGTTGTTTGACTCCAGGGCTGTTTTTTGGAGCCTGCAGAATGGGCGCTTTATTTTGATAGCTTTTTTCATTCCAGGAGTTTTCTTCTTATTAATATTTCCGGTGGATTTGCTGGTGTAATTATCTTGCAATTAGGCATACTGGCATTCAAATTTAAACAATCTATTTAACTTCCGAGCACATTAATTAAAAAAAAAAGCTAGTTTTAACAAGCATGAATTTGTCATAATATTTCTTTAAGTTCTTGATCATGCTAAGGATATCTTATGAGTAAATTATTAGTTCTATGGCAGTGTAAATCTAATTGGACCCTTGTTTATAGGGAAGATATTTGCTCGAAAGCCATCTTACGATTCTGATTCCCCATCATTAGTTGTTACTGCATCTGAGAAGGTCCTTGTTCCTGGCAGCCAGAGTGATGGCTCTTCATCCATGACAGACCAATTGGAAGTTCCTGAAACACTTTCTGAAGATTCTCAGGTCACTTACCTAATATTTCTGTGCAAAAATTTATATTGGTGATGTTACAAGTTCATGTCCTTTATTTTCAAGGAAGGATGCATTGTTTATCTCTTTTGCGAGGGTAATTGATGGTGAGAAGATAGACATTTGACTGCAAGTATAGAAATATCCAGATGGCATAGTTATAGAAAACAGTGAAAAAGATGGAACAGATGATATTTCCTATTTTGTCTCTGATGCATCTCTTGTGATGATGGTTTGTTTATTTTGACAACTTGAGTCCCTAACATGAATCCGTATAATTTGAAGGTGTAAACTTCAGATTATGTAGATGATAATAAAAAAGAGTGCAGTTCTTTGACCTTGGTGGATCTTATCTCTCCCAGTATACTCACTTGGTTTCTTGTGTATTTTTTATTTTGTAAATGCCTATTTTGCTTGTATACGAGATGTTTATCTTGATTTCTATGCTTTTCCTTTTGTTGTCCCTGTGATCATGTTTTAGGTACTTGATAATGTAGATGCTCAAACAGTGGAAAATGGTGAAGTTGAAGATGAAGAGCCAGATACAGTTTCCTCTTCATTTGTAGATGATAGTGATAAGCCTCTTGTTAAGGAATCAGTTCCCGTAGGTGGGAGAGTTACTCTTGAAGAAATGGAAGCTAGACCAAAGAGCATTCCCTCTTCATTTGTAGATGATAGCGATAAGCCTCTTGTTAAGGAATCAGTTCCCGTAGGTGGGAGAGTTACTCTTGAAGAAATGGAAGCTAGACCAAAGAGCATTCCTCCACCTGGCACCGGTCAGAAAATATATGAAATAGATCCAATGTTGAATGGTTATCGTGATCATCTTGAATACCGGTAAGATAATACTCGCCCTCTTACTACTGTAGCTTGTTAGCAGGGGCTCGGACTTCAAGTTTTATATGGTTGACTTCCCCGGAAAAGAATATTCATGTTATTGCTTTGGTATCAACTGCAGTTATGCCATTGTGTTTTTGAACCATGTCAATGGAATGGCTATTAGTTTGAATTTGAGTCTCATTCTGATCTTGGCTATTCTTTCTCCTTTTTAAGTATGCTAATTGCATTTCCAGGTAATAGCGTAGATCAGTTTGAAACCTTTGTCACCCTTAATTCCTTTGAATCCTACCTTGAATTCCACGATGCTGTAGCTGATTTGGGGTTGAAGCTGACTAACGAAGTCATATGCATTGCTTTTTTCATGATATATGGTCTTCCTTTTTTGCATGCACCTTTATATAACAATAAGGTAAAATAGGACAACCTTCTCAGTTTGTATGCCAAATATGTAGACCAGAAAATGTTTTGCGTGGTTTGCCTTTGCTCCTTAGCCCTTACTTAAGATGTAATGTCTTAATTAGGAATTGGCATAGATCTAGGATATCTTAGATATCTGTTCCAGCACCATCTAAATTGAACTTGGAAGTGAAAAAAGAGGAGCTGCTTTTCAATGCACAAAAAATGCAGTACTATACGATGATCCATTCTACTTCATTTCATAAAATTCAAATAACATGGCAGTTCTGAAGTCATGTTATTCGTACTGATTCCTTGATTTCCACACCAATAAAATGCATTCTATAATTCTGTTTATTGTGGTTGGTGAATACTTATTATCACTCTTAACTAAATGAGTTCTTGTTTGTGTTCCGGCTCCACCAACCCTTCTCCCTTTCATTTTAATTATGTTCAGGATTGGCGGGAGGAGGTTATAAGTTATTACAGATGGGTGTCTGTAACTTCCCTTATTTGGCTCTTTCCTTATACCTATTAAAATCATCTATTTTCAGATATGAGCAATACAAAAAAATGCGAGAAGCAATTGATAAGTATGAAGGTGGTCTGGAAGTGTTCTCTCGTGGCTATGAAAAATTAGGCTTTCTACGCAGGTATCTACTATTTTAAACTGATACAGGTTTTATTTCTTTGGATTAACTGTCTTTATTAGTGCATGCAGTTGGCATATCAAATTTGTACTTTTTGTTCGAGATGCTATAAGTTCGTGCATAATTTTTCTTTCTTCTAATAATGAACATTTAGAGTGGCTTGCACTAAACATAAGAAGGTGATGTATCCCCAACATAAATCTGATCCTATATGTTTGCTTAACTTTAATTCTTGAGTTCAATTTATTACAGGTTAAATTCATAATTTTTTGTTTGATTTGCTATGAAAAAATAGGCTTTGGACACTGGTATCTACTATTATAAATTGATACAGGTTGGATTTCCATGGATTTTGCTGTCTTTATCACTGCATCCAGTTGGCATATTTAAATTTGTGCTTTTTGTTCAAGATGCTATACATTTATGTATATTTATTTTTCTAATGATGAACAATTAGTATGTGCTGAACTAAACATAAGAAGGTGATGTATCCCCAACATGAAGCTGATCCTTTATTTCTGTCCAACCTTCGTGTGTTAAATTTATTACAGTTCAAGTTCATTTAAATTAAAATTTACAGTTTAGCTGCAATAGAGGATTGGTTCGTGTTGGAGATGCCCCTTGAATTAAATTTATTTCATAGACCCCATTGGTTATCCTTTGGGTCATTTGAGAGAGAAACAGAACAGCATTTGAAGGTATTTACCCTCTTTTTTGTAGGATTAGAGGCTTTTAGTTCAAACCCTTGCGTCTTTTTTGTTTAAGGGCATCCTCCTCTTGATGGAGAGAGGGTCCACATAAACTTGACTAACATATAAATATACATAAAGCCTTGCGTCTTTTCTGTTTAAGGGCATCCTCCTCTTGATGGAGAGAGGGACCTCACATAAACTTGACTAACATATAAATATACATATTTTTGTAAATACATGTTTTATACGAGTGGCACCCCCTTTACGCCTTGTATATCTAAGTATTTTACTTTTCGAAGCAGGCATACTTGTAATATTATTTCATGACCCTACACAATTTTTTTTAAAAATAATTTCATGACCCTACACAACTAACCTTTCATTGTTAGCTTCAGCCCCTGCAATTTTCTTTACATGGAGCCTCCCACTAGGTTAGAAGTGAATTGGAGTAAAGTGAGCTGAATAATCATGTCCAAGCTAGTGAGCCTTTGTTAAATTTGATAAAAACTTATTTCAGATATTAAGTGCTTCTTGTACCACAAGAAAGTGAGACTGCCTTTGTGAATGCTCTTCTCATCAATTGAATTAGGAATAATATCCAGCATCCATGAGGGTCTTACTTTTTTCCGTGATGTCACTCTGGTGATTAGATATATACATAAATAAAATAGAAGCATACACCCTGCAGATGCAACCGTAGGCTGCTGAGTGCAGACTGAGCAAACACTTGAATTCAGTGTGCAAGTCGATTACTGAGAAAAGTTTGTGAGTGAATAGACTTAGCATTTTTTTTTCTTTCCGGTAGCACTTTCATCTGGTTTTATCAAACATCACCTCCTCCTTGTCTTATGATTCACTCCCATAGCCAGATTTAAGTTCTAATGCAGCAGTTGCTCACTTCGTATCATTTATTATAAGTTGTTATTTCATTAAACAATATTTAGGTAAGTCAATGTTGCAGTTGCTTATCATCTCCTATTTGGTTTTTCAGTGCCACAGGCATAACCTATAGGGAGTGGGCACCAGGAGCTAAGGTTTGTTCACCTTAATTGGCTGTTTTGAGTCTTTTTTTTTTGTTCAATCTTGAAATTGTAATGTTAATTTCATTCTTTAGACCAAGAATCTCAATGTAGCACAGGCTTGCCTATATTATAAACCAGGTTGCCTCAGAGGCCTCTGCAGAAAGACACGCATACATGTCAACCTGTGCACTGCTAAATATGACTACTATAAATTTTAGGAAGATTAATTAGTACAAAGAAAGTCAAAATATTTCTCAGTTAAGAAGAGATCCCATGTCTGATGATGCTGTGCAATTTGCGTGTGTAAATGTAACCTCCTTTTCATTATTCTCTCTTTGTGTTACTACCTTGCACGCAATTCTGCTGCTTTTCTAGGTAGCTTAATATGCCTACTACTGTTTCTTTCTTTCTTCCTTTGAAATAAGGTGAACTTTTGTACCACTTTTTCAGTCAGCATCGCTGATTGGAGATTTTAACAATTGGAATCCTCATGCAGATGTTATGACCCAGGTACTCTTTCTTTGCTCTTTGTGTTTTAAGCCAAGCTTACACTTGTTAATCATTAATCAACACAAACCAAATACCATAAATTGTTATATTAAACATTTATCATTGGACAGACATAAAATTGCCCCTATCTTTGGATTGCATTATCTACTGATGGGATCATCCATTTAGTTGTTACATTGAGGAGGTTGCATTTTGCAGTGTTTATATGTTAGTCTTCATCTGACTATAAAATTGATCAATGTAGAACTACTCTGTTTGAGACTTGTATTCTGCCATAAGTCATGCATTTCAGTTTCCATCTCATAGTATTATTGGCGTCTTAGTTATATCTTTAGCAGTTGATTATTTCTTAAGCTTTACCAAAGCATTTTCTTCAGATAGGTTTCTACTAGGCTATAATGCTCCCTTTCAAGTGTATTTGAGTCAAACCAAGTTCTGTGTTCTCCAATAGCTTAAGAATCTTAATCTTGGCTTTAGCATATATGTTAATAGAGCCTAGGATTGGTTCTTACAAGCCAATTCTCACCTTTCCACAAGTAGATCAGTTAATTTAGTGTTAAATGGCCATAAGTGAAGATCTTAGATAAATCAAGGCATTATCAATAATAATTTAATCAGAAAAAGCAACACATAAATGAACCTATCTTGACGACAACACAAGCACAGACACACAACACGATAATAAAGGTTGGAGTAGTTTTCTATTTCAAAAAAAAATGTTTGAGTAGTTTTAGCGTATCATTCAAGTTCAAGATTAAGAGGAAATCTGTTGAATAAGTTTTATTTCAATTTGATGATATCTCCTGGACATCTCGTTGCTATTTACCCTTCAGCTTTGTACTTATCCCTTTCTTCCATTATACTACTACTATATGAAGTGAGATTGATTCTTGTATCTGAACAGAATGAATTTGGAGTCTGGGAGATCTTTTTGCCAAACAGTGTTGATGGTTCACCACCAATACCTCATGGCTCTCGTGTAAAGGTAAAACGTATTTAGTTTGATTATTTCTCTATAAAATTGTGGCTAATGGTATCCATTTTTCTTAGTTATTCTTGTTCCAGCATGGAAATTTGCTTTTTTTCACGTGTTTTCTTGAATTTACTGGATCAGATAGTCATACCATAATTTATTTATGCAATGAATATCATTTAAAACCTCCTTTTGGCAAGTAAGCGGTAGTATAATCTAACAGTTTACATCCTTGAGATCTTGTTTTGCCTCAACCCCAATGCCATTTTCTGGGTCATCTGGAAAGAGAGGAACAAGAGTGCTTTTGAAGATAAATCCTCCTTCCCCTTTTGCCAGCATCTGGGATCTTTGGCTTACATACAACATGTTGTTTATGGATTTCCCTCTTTTTGATGGGCTGACTATGTTAATCAATTTGATCTATTCTCTTTGACAAAGTTGTAAATTTTTTCCTTATACATGGGCAGCACTTACTTGGTGCTTTTTTCTTGCCATTATCTTTTTCGCTCAGGGAAAAAGGACCATCTTTATCAACATAGAAAATGGTTCTGATGGAATCAAGAGGGACAATTCTCTATAATTATTTCCTGTTTTCTTTGTCAGAATGATGAATTATTGTAGTAAAAGGGGGAATATTTGCTTATGTCCTTGCTCTATGCTTGCCTTTGATCATCTCTTCTGATGGAATGTGCTCAGGTTGTTAGAAACCCTGTGGATCTGAAAGCAAACCCGAAAGTTTCATTCTTTGATTCATATCTCTGGCCTTCTGTGTAGCACCTAACTCTGGTTCTACTTCAGACAATTTTTATGTTTTCCAGTGATTTCCATTACGTGGTTCCCATCTCTGTATCTCTCTGTGGTGCCCAAGGCATTACGCTATTTAGGATGCCCAAAATTGTTTATTATCCCTATTTTCTTTCTTTTTATGTATATTGTTTCATGTCGAAAGAAAATTGACTCCATTGACCATGTGACTGTAGATTCGCATGGATACCCCATCTGGTATCAAAGACTCCATTCCTGCTTGGATTAAATTCTCTGTACAAGCCCCAGGTGAAATCCCATACAATGGCATCTACTATGATCCGCCAGAGGAGGTATGTTCCTGTAATCCTTTCTGGCTCTAGGAAATAATATGATGCCGAAGACAATCAACATTGTTGTTGGGCATAAATAACAAGGAATGGATATCCAACATTGGACAATCTATAATTCCAAGTAACAATTGACTTGTCATATACACAAAACTTTTCCTGTGATTATAAGTAATCAACATATCACCTATGTTTAGGCTTTTTGTTATATTATTTTACTAAGTTATCAAATACTGCACGAAACCCTTGAAGGAATTTACTTTATTGTCATGTACCTTCAACTTTTTCTTAAGGCTAATAATATGTGAAATGTTTTTCAGGAGAAGTATGTGTTTGTCCATCCTCGTCCAAAGAGGCCCAAATCACTCAGAATTTATGAGTCGCATGTGGGAATGAGTAGCACGGTTTGTGCCTTTCTTCTCCCTGTATATTAACATAACAATACTGCTTTTTCTGTAATTGATAGCACAGCATCAAGTTAATGAATGTTCGAAAGGTTGAAGTTTTCTTGTTGATTTTATTGTTTAATATAATAATATGAAGAATCGTTGGTTGAATATGAGCTTCCTGGGGCTGCTTGTAGAGGATGCCTAGAGGCCTAAAAGCTGAAAGAATAAAGTAGACTCTTTTTGCATATAATTTATAGGCCTTTTTGTATTTTTCTGTCTTTAATAATTTAAAAACATAAGAAAGATTAGTATGAACATGTCAGAAAGCTTGAGGGTACTACTTGCAGAAGGTCTGCAGAAGAGATGATATCATTGTTCATTCCGTACTGAACAGTTCTCTGTTTGTTCAAGTAACAAAGAGATAATTTGTTGAATTATGCTCTGACAAGACCAAGACATGAAGAATACTACAGCTCATAGTATGTATTGTTTGAAGGAGAGTACTTATCTTGCAATTTGATTTATTTTGAAAATTGATGAGAATTCAGCGAGTTTTTCATGGGAGCTCGCAAATTACTTTCTGGAGTCATCTTGTTCTCATCCCTCCATATCTTCTAGGAAAAGCAGTCAAGAAAAATGATTGACCAAATTTGATTTTTTTGGTACCGTTTCTGCCTTTTGATGAGGTATACTATTGTTGAACTTTCTCCTCTTAAGTAGTATTCATATTATACTTCAAGAATACTTATTTTATGAAAGACTGTTCTATGATTTTTGTAAAACTTTTTCCCCACCCATGTTAGTTGAGGTTTATTTTTTCTGCCTTCTACTGCTAATAATGGTAATGACACGAGATGCAGGAACCAATTGTTAACACATATGCCAACTTTAGAGATGATGTGCTTCCTCGCATTAAGAGGCTTGGGTATAATGCTGTTCAGATAATGGCTATCCAGGAACATTCATATTATGCCAGCTTTGGGTAGTTTTCTTTTCTGATAACCTCCACCTCTGAGGATTATAGATCTTTTTCCATGGAAGAGAATTTTCCAAAAATGAACATGAAAATTTTTGTCTACATATCATCCTGTTATCTATTTTCACAATTCATAGTCTGTTACTTGCTGTGTGCTTCTCTTTCTTTTTTTTTTTCTTTTACTAATTAACTTGAGAGCTTCCTATTTTATGTTTTGCAGGTACCATGTTACAAATTTCTTTGCACCTAGCAGCCGATGTGGAACCCCTGATGATCTTAAGTCTCTTGTAGATAGAGCTCATGAGCTAGGTCTGATTGTTCTCATGGATGTTGTTCATAGGTACGGACTAGATTTGAGAAAGAACTCATTCCGGAGAATCTCCTGCATAGTTTCCAGTTGTCTTATTACCAAGTTGGCAGAAATTATGTTACTAATGCTAGTGTTTTTACATGTCAACGGTATCTTTTTTTTATTTTAATTTGTACCAAACTTCTGCAGTTCTTTACTTTTTGCAGCTGTAGTTGGTGCATTTTATCATGACATGCTAAAAATACTAAGTTAGCTAGTTAAATTGAGTAGGGATGTGGCAGTATTTGTTTCAATTGGTGCTTAATTAAGCAAAAGCTTACGGCCATTCGATCAATGATGAGTCTTACTTATTTGATCTTATAGTTATTATGTCTTTGTATCTTATTTTGTTACTTGTATATAGGGCCAGCACCTCCTTGGCACTCTTTATGAATGAATTTTCATTTCCCACTCAAAAGGGAAAAAGAAAAAAGAAGAAAAGACAAAAAGCCAAAGCATCATTATTTAAAGCAATACATCCTAGTCAGTGGGAGAAAGAAAAGGATGTTCTTTTTTCTGGGGTCTACCCATGAGTGTGCAAGTATTGAGTCTTTGTTCCTTCACTGCTTGTCTTAGCTTCCTATAATCATGTATAGATAGCATGAAAAATCGTTGAAGGAAATGATTTTGTAGCTTTTTAACATGTACCTGACTACACTTGATTAAAAATTATGTCTGTTCTTTTGGATATGATCCTTTCGTCATGCTGGATGATGGCTTACGGACTTGTTTACTTCTGATCTCTGATTGCTGACATTGACCTGCAGCCATGCATCTAATAATACATTGGATGGACTGAACATGTTTGATGGAACGGATGGTCACTACTTCCACACTGGGTCACAGGGTTATCACTGGATGTGGGATTCTCGTCTCTTCAATTATGGAAGCTGGGAAGTATGTGATTTTCCGAAATTGGAGATTATTAGTGATGAGTTCTCTCTTTCATGCCACCATTTGCGATGACTGATTCTTGCGTTGTTGACTTAGGTATTACGATTTCTTCTTTCTAATGCGAGATGGTGGCTAGAAGAATATAAATTTGATGGATTCAGATTTGATGGTGTTACTTCAATGATGTACACTCATCATGGATTAGCGGTACTTTTTCTTGAAAATTTACTTCAATTTTTATGGTAAAATCAAGAGTTAATTACACGATTTGATTAAGTGGTTAATCTTTGTTCTTTTTTTTTAATGTGATTAATCTTTGTTAGTGCACAAAACACTAACTGGGCTCTATACTATTAGTTTAAGTTTTTTGGATAATTAGTTGAGTCAATTATTTGAAATGATACCAAAACTAAAGAAATCTAATATTTGAATCCCCACTCCGTTATTTCTATTAAAGAATTAACTTTGCACAAGATTTGACAGGTATGTGCTTGAGTCATATTCTATTAGCTTAATCTTTCAGGATAATTAAACCAATCTCCTAATTGAGAATCCTAAAAGTTCGAGCAGGTAGAAAAGGAGTAGAACTTTGTTTTTGATATTCTAAGATATCATAGTTGCTTTTCTGGTTATTCTATCTTGTGCAATGCATTACCAAGTATATACGAAAGGGAGAAAATTTCTACTCATCCTTTTATTTGATATATTTCGAGCTAGTAGTATGGTAAGAATTTTACTTATGAATAGCTTTCTATACCCTATTTAGTTTTTATCTTACTAGGGATTTTTATAATAAGTTCAGAATGGCTCATAAGTAGGGTTGTAAATGATACAGTTCGGGACATTGGGTTTGTTCTACTACTTTTGATGTAGGGCAGGTAACAACAATAGAACCATGATGTAAAAAAATAAAGGGAAACTATAGGGGAGAGAATTAAAAAATAAATGGACAGCAGAAACAGGAGATAAAGGTGAAGGCTTTAGAGGGAGAAGTGAAGAATGTTTAGTCAGCATGAAAACAAGAGAGACAGAGAAATAATACATAGAAATTCATTAGAAAAGTAAGAATTTCATGCATAAACAAATTGTTGATTTCTAAACTCAACTAAAAATGAAAACAGCTAACAGGCAAACAAATCCTTAGTTTCCAAAAGTTTTAAATAACTAATAACTCTAATATCCTAAAATTATTATTTCCTTTCAAAAAATAAAAACAAGCCTCTAAAAAGGTATTTTAATCAGCATTCTTATTTAGGCTTTTAGAGTATTCTTCATCAACTATTGCCTCTTTGACGTTTTGTTTCTTGCATTTCACTAGGTCGGGTTTACTGGTAACTATAAGGAATACTTTGGATTTGCAACTGACGTGGATGCTGTGGTATATCTGATGCTGGTTAATGATCTCATTCATGGACTCTTCCCTGAGGCTGTGACCGTTGGTGAAGATGTAAGTTACCTGCCTGGTCCTCCACTAAGCCAAGTTAATTTCTGTAGTCTTCTAAGAAAGGTCCGTTCAATTGATGGAAACTATTGGATACCCTTTCCTAGTAATTTAGGTGTGAATAGCGTTTAAAAAGGTATTTTTACCTATCTACCTCCATATACTGTATCTGTGCCTATAGCAGTGATTGTCTTTTAATAAATTTTCTGCATTGCATTTCCCATTTTTTATTGAATGGAGCAGGAAATTATGAATTTGATGACATGGTTTGCGACTGTTTCGTTTTGGCTCGTCGAAAGCTGTTCAGCTAATTCTATAAAGTCATTAAGGGGGATCACTGTTTACCTAGAAATGGATAGTTAATCCCTTTTTTTCCATGCTAAAGTTGTTGCACTTCTTAAATTCCTTGATTTTTCCTTCATATTAATATTTGTAGATTAAATCCCTTATTCTTGATGCTAGAGTTAATTCTCATCCTACCAGTTAAGCAGTAGTCTCATCCTAGTTTGGAAGAGATTGAGGGCTCTTATGAGAATCCATCTGAAAGTGTAATTAGCATCTTCTGGATTGTTCAGCAAAATTACATTTCTTAATATTATATAAAATGGAATAGCTGAAAACTGGAAAGAAACTTGGAGGATAGCCATTGTTAACTTGTAACAGCAAATGCAATAATTTTTACATGAAATAGGCTGGACTCAACAAAGTAATATAAACAAAAGTGGAAATTTAAAACACTCAAAACTCTCCATTTTCAGATATGCCTAGTAGTCCATGAGCTGCTCTAATAGTTACACAAATTTATTTATTTGGTCTCAGGTTAGTGGAATGCCAACGTTCTGCATCCCTGTCCAAGATGGTGGTGTGGGATTTGATTACCGCCTCCACATGGCTGTTCCTGATAAATGGATTGAGCTTCTTAAGTATGTTTCTGTAGCAGTTGAAATACCTTCCTACGGTTTGACAAGCTTGAAGCTAGAACCGTATTGTTGTGTTTCTGACATAATGTTACATATTCTCTTTGCTTTATCTTATACCGATTATATAGGAAGAAGGATGAAGATTGGAGAATGGGTGATATTGTTTACACACTCACCAACAGGAGGTGGCTGGAAAAGTGTGTAGCTTATGCTGAAAGTCATGATCAGGCCCTTGTGGGCGATAAAACAATTGCATTCTGGCTGATGGACAAGGTCATATATGTTTTTTCTTATACTTTTTTATGTCTTATCCATGCCTAAAAGTCCCATAATGCCTTCTTCTATGGAAGGATTCACCTCGACATCTTGCACTTTGACCTACTTAATAGAGGCATTGCTGGTTGATATGAGTCTAATCTCTTCTTGGTGAACCTGTAATTAATTCCATTTTTTACCAATTTGTGCTTTATTGGGAATTTTCAGTTGTGATTTGCTTTGAGGGTTAGGAAGAAGCTCAATGGTGGTCAGTGATTTCTTTTGAACATGTTAAATGTTTTTTTTTATTTTTTGAGATTAAAGTGAGTGGTATAAATTAAGGACGCCAAGGGGGCGTGACCTACAAGTAGGAATTTACAGATCTGTGAGTATATCTACAATAGATCCTAAATCATCAAAAGAATCAAGGTTTGGACCAAGTACAAGAGAATCAAAATAATGAAGCCACCTATCCTTGATAATGGCAAAATTAGTTTTTTTGACAACAATTTCTAGGCTTGTTTTATGTTTCACAAGGAAAACTTTAGATTTATGACTCTTAGAATTTCTGCATGTTTGTCTTTGGATTCTGAATTCTCCAAATATAATCTTGGAAGTTAATCCTGATCTGCATGTCAACAGGTTACTTAGTTTTGGTAGTGGTGCAACATCTCAATATGCTCATGATATTAGTTGGCTGGTTTTTCATGGCTTACATTCTGTATTGAGGTAGTTTTATTGCTTATTTGTAATTATTGACGTTCCGAACTGTCTGGTCCTTTGCAGGATATGTATGACTTTATGGCTCTGGACAGACCATCAACTCCCCTCATAGATCGTGGGATAGCATTACATAAAATGATTAGGCTTATTACCATGGGACTGGGTGGAGAAGGATATTTAAATTTTATGGGAAATGAATTTGGACATCCTGGTAATGTCCACATAATTGGTTTTTACCATCTCGAACTCTTTATTTTGGTGCCTTTCAACCTTTGCCCCCATCTAATTGCCCATTATAAATTTTTAAATATTCATCTGGATTAAGGTTATAACTTCTGCCTGTTCTTTTTATTCAGAATGGATTGATTTTCCAAGAGGCGATCAGAAGCTTCCCAATGGCTCAGTGATTCCTGGAAACAATTATAGTTATGATAAATGCCGGCGTAGATTTGATCTGGTAGGTCTCCTCTTTGTCACTCAATGATCTCCATATTACTATTTATAATCAGGTGGCTGTAACTTCACCTAGGTCAACTTTTTAAACTGCACTGAAGAATGAAAAATCTTCGTGCTTTTTCGTGACAGAATGGGAATTGAAAACTGGTTTTAGACTATTTTTGGAACAAATCTAAAATTTATGTAGAATTCATGTAGATGCATATTTTATGCAACTAGAAAATCGTGAATAAAATGATACAAATTGATATCTAAAGGAATTTTATGTGGAATTGAAACAGTGCATCCCAATTCTATAATTTTTTTTAGTAATATGGGAAATGCATTTTTTCAATTTCACATGGAATTCCACATCTTCTAACCTTGTTGAACTGCATGTGGATTTGCAATTGAATTTCATGAAAACTTTTTATTTATTCTACATAGCCTTGGTCTTGTGCAGCCTTATGATATCTAGTTAAGTCTTCTTATTTTGCATCCTTTTGTTGTTTCTCTTCATGATATTGCCAAATAAAACTAAGAGCTCTCTGATGTTGATAATAAAGTTCTTGCATTCTCTTGAACCCAAAACCCTGGAGCTGATTTGGTCTTCAAAATAGACACGTGCTTTTGAGGACCAGCCAGTGGGCTATATAGCAAAATCTTTGTTCCCCAAGTTTTTTTTATAAGGAAACACTCAATGTACTCCTAGAAATTTTCTTGCGAACATCAAGATCAACTATGGAATATCACTTGTCTTCGGGTAACAGCACCTCAAAATGTTTGAACATATGTTCCTTATCCCGTAATTCTATCTTATTCTTAAACCTTCCAAGAGAATATTAGTGCCATGAGATATTCCTAAGCTATTAGCATGTGAATGCAGATTCTAATACTGGCACTTTATCAAGGATTGTTTGTATGAAATTTAATTTATAATTGCTTATATATTCCCAGGGGGATGCAAATTATCTTAGATATTGTGGAATGCAAGAATTTGACCAGGCCATGCAGCATCTTGAAGAGAAATATGGTGTAAGTTCTCATATCCTAGGAAAATATAACCTGATGATGCTTTCTAGTTTCCTGGACCAAAAGGATCCTTTATTTTTTATCTGTTTGCAAGATTCTAGATAGATATAAGACATTTTTTATGATATTTGAAGGCCACTATTGGAGCAATTAGATTCAGCAATACGTCCATCTATTGTTATTTAAACTTTTCTGCGTTTAGAATTGTAACTAGCTCTATCAAGTTCTTTGTAACTCAAAAGCGTTTTGCTCTTTTTAAGCACTTTCCAAGCTTTTCTTTTGGTCAGTGTTCATTTTGAGATTCTTTTTCATTGTTATTTGCACATATTTCGGGGGTAGATCAAATTGTGTGACCACCCACATCAAATATCATTGTGTGGATGGTGATGATCCACTTGAATTGGATGGTTAATTTGGGAAGTTCTGGTAACAGTTTATTTGCTGTTTTGTCATTTCTAGATTCTAAATTCTAGGTTTATTGCAGAGAGTCAGCCTGTTGTAGAGTTGTGTGTATCTATTTTTCTTCCCAAAATATATGCGATGGACACCATTATAGACCTATTGTTCTCTAAGCTTATTTCTGACCCTTAGATTTTGGTTTGGAAATTGTTTCACTTGTTTACTGTTATTGCAGTTTATGACCTCTGAACACCAATATGTCTCACGGATGGATGAAGGAGATAGAATGATTGTCTTTGAAAGAGGGAACCTAGTTTTTGTCTTCAATTTTCATTGGACTAAAAGCTACTCAGGCTACAGAGTGGGCTGCTTGAAACCAGGGAAATATAAGGTATAGTCCATATAATTTTTTGGACTAGTGCTGGGAGGTTGCAATTCAAGATATGCTCTCTCTTTCTTGTACCTCTTACCTTCCACATCAAGTCATTCTTTACTTTCCGCTTCTCCATTTGTTTTTAGATATTTGGGTTTTTTTTCTTATTAAGACGAATATTTAGCGGACACTTTAAATAGTCCATGTGATCCTTGGTTGGTATAGAACTGGGAAAATAACATGCTCCTGTGGGGCATGTATATTTTAGAATGTACATAATGAGTTAGGACTTTTTGTCTGTCTTAATTTTTTTAGTAATTGGTTTCGATTAATCACCTCTAAATTAGAAGTTTTAGGAAATAGAAGAATATTACTCCAGTAAATTTGTCAATACAGATTTATTGAGAAATCAACCAAGAAAGATTCCAGTCAGGATTCCAAATCTAATATCATTACAATATCTAAATTTCATGCTTCATGTTCGATTGTGACCACATTTAAATTTAGGCCGCCTCATCAGAACAACCTCCATAAACTTTCTTCTGTAAACATTACTGGTAACCATCTCTGGCCGCACTGATATACTTAGATGTCACGGGCAGTAAAATGCTTCACATAAAAGAAATCTTTTATCTTTTACTTAGATTCTAGACTGCTTAACATTTGCTAATAGTATTCTGCTTGTCTCTCATGGCATTCGATAACACAATTCAATCATGCTGTCTTCCAGATTGTCTTGGACTCTGATGATGCCTTATTTGGAGGCTTCAGCCGTCTCGAGCGTAATGCTGAGTACTTCACCTCTGTAAGAAACTTCCAAAGCATTGTCTGATTTCTTTTTCCAATTTCTCCTATGCTTGTTTTGTTATTCTCATCATTACTTCCCTAAGTAAGAAAGGATATTTTCTTAACTATTTTATGATCTTGCAGGAAGGATCGTATAATGATCGGCCTTGTTCCTTCATGGTGTATGCACCAAGTAGAACAGCAGTGGTTTATGCTCTGATAGATGATGAAGAAAAAAAGGGAGGAGAAAAAGAAAAAGAAAATGAAGAAGAAGAAGATAATGGAGAAGGAGAAGAAGAAGAAGAAGCTGTCAAAGAGTAATCAAGTTTTAGCACACGCCCAACGGATTAAGTAGCATTCTGGAAGTTCTCATCGTGAACGTGAATTGAACATAATAAACTTCGGCTTATAACTGTCACGAGAGTCCTCCAAAGAAATAGGTTCCGACGGTCAGCCTCTTTCTGATCTGGGGATGAAACATCGAAGTGAAAAACAGGAGAGAGCAAAACGTGCCTGCACCTTATTCAGATTGGAGTGAAGAGCCTCGGCAACCAGCTTTTACAAGTGTTAGCTAAATTAATTTCCTTTCTGCGTTGTAAATGTTTTTTCTGTATTATTTTTCTCAAGCTTAATTATTATCACGGTACCACAGCTAGATGTTTTTCCGCGTATAGCATGCAGTGCAGTGTAATGTTATATCCGAATGCCCTGTAAGCTATGGCACATCCAGTGAAATGCATAGCTCGACATTGGTGACTTTTTATTTTCGCTGTCTAGATCATGTAAGGGGGAACACGCAGGATACAATGTGTCAGTGGCCTTTATTGTTTCCTTTTCAACGAGGAATAAGAAAAATTATATATATATATATATATAAGATTATATGTAGACGAATTAAGAATCTTTGTAGAATTTAGCGTTCTGTAGAATTGATTTCTAAATCAAGGTAATTTTATTTCAATTTCATTAAAATTCTTACATGTCATTTTCAACATGTCCATCCATCAAGTCCTGAAATTTCAATTTGGCAGTGAATTTGTAGAACAAGGGCAGAGCATCGCTATGGGCTTTTACAAATCGGACATATAATTAGATTTATATATTAAATCAGGAGCATAAGAAAATAATTTCTAAATCAAAGATTAAAAGAACTAAATTCTAAGCCCTGAAAAACAGACGTGCAAAAGACCGTGCCCACTTTATACAGTAGATATTATGGTACTGAGCGGTTTATAAGCGCAAAGGATAACAAAATTGGCAACAACAAAAAAAGTACAGAAAAAAACGAACATCATATTATTATTGATTTAGAGGAAAACATAAACTAAACACAGGTGCTAACGTAACTAGATTCTGTGGCAGAGTTCCGCGGCAACTGATGTAAGACACTGGTGGGTGAAGAATTTGAAGTGGAGGAACGCAATGCCTCAGCTAGAGGTCCTCCCATTTGGTTTGTCGCCCATCCGGCAGCCCAATTCAACTGCAGTTGATCCCTTTCGCCGTCCCTGGTGGTGAGTTCATCTGCATTACCAGTTGACAGTTTCAACGACACATCGGAGGATGAAATTGTGAGACAGGTGGAGGAGCTCATAGGGCTAGCATTCCTCCCAGCATTATCAGGTTCTTGAAGTGATCGGGGCCAATCATCAAAAAAATGCCTTAGAATGTGGCCGTCAGGTCTGTTGTCAACTTCGTTTTGGGCTTCAAAGAGGCCCTTGTTCTCAATCCTGAACTCTGAGGAACTGCAGAGAGGGACAAAAGCACATGATAGAGTCGAATCAAAACCCAACAAAGAACAATTTAAATATATATATATATATATGTGCATATTTACGTATAAAGTCTACCTAAAAATGATAACGAAAAAAATCAGAGCACCATATCTTGAAAAGGAGCGGCTGGGGTGAGTTCGTAGAGAATCTGAAGGCTTTTTCCCCAAATTTCAGACATATTTAGCCAGACCCATCCATCAGGGTCCCTACCATTTGAGATATATACATATAAATATATATATCTAGCTAAAGCTAATCCCATCTTAAAAAGATTCTATCAAATCTATGTCCTTCTTTTTTGACACTAAAAGCTTTTTTTTTCCTGGGAAAAAATAAACCAAAAATGTCCCACAAATTTAAAATTCATGCCAATCTCTATAACACCACTGCCACCCAGAACACCAACATCATAGTTATAGTTTTATCAAACACCGCAGCCCTGCGAATTCCATTTTCTTTTTATAAGATAGAGGGAAAATCTTCCTCCTAAATTTCTTCATAAGAAATTTAATCTCAATACAATAATTTATAATTGGAGTTTCAGCCTTATTTATGCTCTTAATATTGCCTCCAAAAAATTTTGAAAAATAGAAATAATAGAACAAAAACAGTCAGACACCATGTGAATCCCAATATCTGCTTCATGCCCATAATGTTTTTCTGTACTAAAATCACTGGGAGTTTACAGTTTTCTTCTTCAAATAATAATATATGATTACATGTCTAGTACGCCACCAAGCTGTTTTTCTTCACACCCAATACCACAAATTAACAACGTCAAATATTAATTCAGGGGGGAAGAAGTCACCAATCTTACCTATGATTCAGGTGCAGGAGATCAGCGGAGCTAGCCGGTCCGGCGAGGCCGAAGCTCGGCCCATTAGCCACCATTGCCGGCAATGTCATGGAGATTGGACCGGTGGATTTGAAAGTGTCGCTGCCACCGAGACCACCACCACCAGCACCCAGAGAAGAAACCGTTGAGGCGGCTACGGAGAGTGGAGTGACGGCGGCGGTGGTGTTCGGCGTGGGGATTTCCACAGGCTTTCTTGAACGGTTGCGGCCACGGTGCATGTGGCGCTCGCAATATTTCTGGCCAGCCACCACATCTCTTGAGCACCTCCATTTCTTTCCATCTGTTCTCCGGCACCGACCCGGCTCCGGATCCAGGGCAGCTCTGCTCCAATACCCTGATTGTAACACTGATCACCCATGTTTAATTTCTCCAATCAATTAATATATAACCATTACGTATACATGAAACTTTAAAACCTGCTTGGCTCATGAAGACCGATACATACAGGGTATATATTCATGATTTCAAATAGAGAGCAAGTGAATTAAAGTCAACCGGGTTAAGATTTTAGAGAAAAGTCAAAGAAAGGAGTGTACAATCATGAAATACGGTGACATTGATAATTAGGCCGTTGTGTAACCAACAGACGAGCAATAATTTAAGTCAGGTGTTAAAGATAATGATCTGAGAGGGAAAATCTGAAACTAAGCAGGTTAAACCCTAAGATCTTGTTACAACTAAAACTGGTAAAATCCAAGCATGGAACTGACAAGAAAACATAATGCACAGAACATTGAAAAAGAAAATAGCTAAAAAGACCAGATGGGTGTTGTTGATTGAATCAAGAAAGAGAGATATATATGAGTTAGAACTTACAAGCAGGCTGATAATGAGCGTAATGTTGAAGAGGATGATGGAGGAAATATGGAGAAGAGTGAAGGAGACTTTTCTTGATTGGCTGGAGGAGCTCGGGAGGAACGGCAGCACCAGCTAACATGTATCTGTAGATCAAAGCCTGCAACTCCAGCTCCTGCCACTGAGCCAAACTAAAGTAGCTTCCCATCTCTAACAAAACAAGAGGAAGAAAGAAAAAGAAGTAAACGCCATGAAAGTTACAGAAGCAAACTTAGAAGAGGAAAAAGACCCAGGAACTTTTTCAACATGCCCATTGATGTGCGACAAATCTTACTGGGAAATCTAGAGGATGAATCTGGCAACGCTGACAGGTTGGTGAGTTTGGTAGAGGGCTGTTCAGGTACAAACAAAGGGAGTGCAAGAGAAGCAGAAGCTGAGGCAGATGGGTTTTGTTGATGTGGATCAAGGAGAAGTTTTGGTATCTTCGCAGAAGGTTGTTGCTCTGACTCATGCTGGTTCCTCCATTGTTTCAGATGCAAGTCCATTGAGAGAGAGAGAGAGAGAGAGAGAGAGAGATAGGGATTGAAGTTTGGTTGCTTTTAGTAGTTGTTTAGGTTTAATAAGGCGTTGTTTGGCGTGTTGGGGATGTGAAGAGAAAGTTTGGAAAAGCTTTTGCAGAGACTTATGTGGGTTCTTTTATAACTTTGGCAGATACCCAGCAGAAAGAAAGAGAGAAATGAAGAGAGGGGAGGAGGGGGAGGAGGAGGTGGTGGACGAAAGAAGAAGAAGAAGAGGTCAGTGAGCATTCTGACACGAAAGCCTGCAAAGTTTGTTTATGACCAGTGAAGAAGCCTAAGGCACTTGAGAAAAAGACAGCCAGACAAGACAGTTGAGACCTCAAAAATTATTTAAAAATTTATTTTAATCTATATATAAAAAAATCTTTTTTTTTTTTTTTAAGATATAAGCTCCAGTCTTTCTCTCTCTTTGTGCCTTGGAAATAGCAAATAAAAAACCCTATTGAATTAAGAAACATCCTGAGAAACCCTTTTACTTTTTACCACATTTACTTATCTCTATCTACGTAATTTATATATAATATTATGTATAGATAGATGTTAATGCAAG